GAGAAAAGAACCTTGTATTTTTATCGGCATGAAAATCGGCGTGGCAAACATTCGACGGGGGGAACGAATAGTTTTTATCGAAAATCGACATTCTCCAGTCTAACCGTTGCGAGGAAACAGGACTCCGTTGCCCTTTACCGTTGTAACGAAATTCAGTTTCTCTATTCGAGTTGAAAATGTAAATTCTCGTGCAGAAGCGGCTCTTCAATTTTTTTCGTACACGTATAAAGTTCCCTACGATTTCCACGAGCCCCAAAGGCTCGATATTATTGGCCCAATGTTCCAGTCAATTTTTCACACAGCCGCGTATTCCTTTCTCTCTCTCTTTCGTCCTCTCCGGAATTATTAACCGTTCCGTGAAGCAACAACTGTGCAAACACTCGCGCAGGCCCTCGCAGGAGAAGGAGGAGGAGGTAAGTTAAAGCGAGGTTTCAAGATACGGACGCGTTCGCACTCGTGATAATTTTCCGCTATTTTTGCACTAGTCTCTCCTCTTCCATTCTTTCGCTTCCTTTTTTTACTCTCTTTATTTTCGGTTCACGCGCTTTAAATCGTACGTTACGGATCTGGTGCGGGCACGAAAAAAAAAATGAAAAAAATCTAGAATGTTTGTATACATTGTATACATTGTATACATTGTAGATTGATTCTAGAATTCAAAAAAAAGGATAAAAGAAGTATTTCTTTGGTATAGAAGAAGAGTATCGAGTTGCAACAGGTAATTGAAGTTTCAAATATATTAATATATTATAATACGCCACGATATTTTTATGTGTAAATATTTGTGTGTCTTGTTTATAATTTAATAAACAAGTCTCTTTACTTTATTTTTGTTTCGCTAATATATATTAAGGTACATATATCAATATTTGTACATCAATCATTTTTCTCTCATATAAGTTTATACACGTATATAGGACACAACCGGTTAAGGGGTTAATCGTCAATTGGAAAAGAAATTGTCGACAGATTCCAAAAATACCTGCAAGTTTATCGAGCCGATAAAGCATTATGTACCTCTATTGAAAATTTCCTGCATCCCTCACAAAGGGATGAAAAGACTGAATACGCGTGGCATCCGCCTTCACGAAAGGTCACCGATGCTGCGTTTCGATCGTATCCCTGAAAAATCACCAACCGTCCTCCGCGCAAATTCTATATAACATCGTATAACGATCGTATCGTCAATTTCTTCATAAGTACGATAATAAAGGTAACACAATATCGTCGTTCTTGTTGGAAAGAAAAACTCATCATGATTCTTCTTATATTTTGATACGTTATTGGAACGTTATTGGAAATTTATCACGCCCGTGAGCAACTACTCTTTCAAACCAGAGGAGACGTAAGTTAAAATTTTTAACTTAGGCATGGAAAATAAAAAGAACGGTCTTACCTTGCAAATATCAAGAAGACGAGGAAAGAATAATCGAAATAATCCTCTTATTAAAAAAATAAGTTTAAAAACGCTAATTCTATCTAAAAAAACGATCTAATCTAAAAAAACGAAGATTCTGAAGTAATGCTTCGAAAAAAGAGAAAAGTACACGTATTATCGAATAACCGTTGGATTTAAAAACACACATTGGCGTGTGCAAGATATTCGGAACGAGTCGGAGAGATTCGGGTGAGATCGGAAAAGATGGTACGAAGACGAACGAAATCGAGCGAAACCGAACGAAGTGTATCTTGCATAAAGTCAAATCTGATTTCTGGTCGTTTCGACAATAATCGAATGTAATCGACTTTATAATTTTTAAATTAATCGCTTCTTATGCTTTGCATGCGACTTATATATCTTTCGTTTATTTAGAAGGAAGTATTCGGAAATAGTGTGGCTAATGGAGGAAGGAGAAATTAATATCCCTGATCACTAGGGTGTCTTTGCAATCGCTTAACGCAACTATGAAAGTTCGTTGGAGATTCTTGTCCTCCTCGACAGCTTATTAATTCATTCTCGCTTTAACAAGCTCTCGCCACTTACTCGCCCCATTCTACGGCGTTAATCACGCCTCGATGATAATTAACACGAGCGTCGAACGATCAATCTTTCAGGTATCCCTTTGTCCGATGTGTTCTTTTTCTCGATAATCGAATCTTTTTAATAAGTGATTCGCTAATTTATATTATATTTTTGCGCGAAAAAAAAATCACTCACGTTACCAAAAATATCGTAGACATTATAGAAATTAATTCGAATAATATTTATCGTTTAAAGATCGTTCGATCTTGAGAAATAAAAGTGAATTTTTTCCTAGCTTTCCCATCTTTTCCATTCGAAAAACTTTTCTATCCGAAGTATTCTCGCAAGTTTTCAAACAACAAATATCAATTTCAATTTATTTCAAAAAACCTTTTAACCCTTTGTATTGTATTTTTAACCAAAATTGAACATCAGTTAATTATCCCAAGTTTCTTTGCATCTTAAA